AGGATGGCACAACTGAACAATTTTCCTAAATAAAAAGTAGAAATCAGATTCCAAATTAATTGTGCCAATCAGCCTAAGTATTCATAATTTTGTCTGCATAGAACACACCCTAGCACAGGTGAATTAAAAAGAATACAGGATGATCCAAAGGACAGATCCAAATTATAATAGTATAATTACCTAACATATAATATTTAAGCACCATAAACTAGCAAATTGAAAAAAAATGATCCTGTTTTTGATATTACTTTTATAAAACACAGCAGCCAGTTTCAGAATAATTTCTATTTCAAAATAAATGAAAAGTATCATAAAGATTTCTGTTTCAGACAGAAAACAGGTAATCTGGAAAGTTCACTTTTGTATATATTTCATCTTCAAACAAACAAACAAACAAAAAGGTATGTTATGTTTCTGCTGTCTGATATTGTGGCTATAATACTGTAGCCACTTTTCTGGAAGTAAATTCTACTGAACCCAATAGTATTTACTTCTCAGTCAATATGTACAGCATCACATTATAAGTTCCTCTTCCATTCAAAATGCAACTGATATCAGAATCATGAACATGGCTGAAAACAAGTGGCACTTTGCAGTAAAATTAATCAGTATGGAAACATAAACACTATACCCATATTGAAATTATAGGATCAGAGTAAAATTTGCTTTGACTGGAATACCAGATGTTACAGCTACTATATATCATATGTAACTTACATCTTCCATACATATACCCTATTTAGGTTTTAGCTATTACAATTGGGACAATAACGAAGATAATAATGAGCTATCTGAAAAACTGCCTTAGTTTTTCAAAGAATGAGCTCCAGACTTGAGATTTAAGATATAATTTCTTTCAAAATCTTGGGTCATAAATACACAAAAATAAAAAATTAAGGAGCACCCAAGCACATTCAACACTCAGTGTATACATATTTTGACATACTCATTTTTTAAAAATGCAAGAGGTATGCTAAGTCGTGTGAAGTTGGGGAGAGCTGTTTAATCAAACATTCCCTCCTCACTGCACCCATTTCTTACCTGATAATGTCATCATTGTGCCCCAGGAAAAATTTCTGTGTATGCTCTCTGGTGTTATAAACCACGCCGACTCCAGCCACAAAGTAAACCACTTCTTTGCCTGCTGTGTAGTACAGGTTGTTGCGGCACTGATGACCCCTATACCCATATACCCACTCCAGATGGAGCTGGCATCTAGGAGCAGTCCGATCTGCCATGACAACCTCCCTCCCTAAAAGCACAGAAAAAAACTGGAGCTATTGCCCCCAGCCCCACGTTCTTGCTTTTCCTGCTTCCTTGTTATAAATGATCTCAATTTTTGCTCAGCTGCCAAATCATTCAGCTGCCCTTCCTAATGCTGAGGATTTTTAGTGAAAATGCATCCCGAGTCTTGCTCTGCTGCTGCTGGATTCCTAGTGCTGAGCCGCCACCATAATCTTCTACTGCCAAAGATGAGCAGCCGTTGCTGCTTTCCCAGTTTTGCAAGCCAGATAACTTGGAGGGGGGAGCACACGCATTGAGGCAAATTCCAAGTCAAATACAGTGGAAGGCATGAGCCTCTCTGCATCAAGTGCAGAATACAGGTGCTGTGGATATCATTATGCCTTTTAAGTTTCTTGAAAAGAGTAGGTCACTGCCTTTCAAACATGGTTATAGTTCTTAACTGTGGAAAAAGTGCAGCTGACATGAAAAATAGCTTTAAAAAAAATATCTTCGCACATTCTGTGGCTGGGTAATGAAGAAAGTAGTCTTCTACAGATTTGCACCTAAGTGTAAAGGATATTTCTGTAAGGAAAAAGAAAGATGTTTTTATGTATATATGATATCTACATACTTTTGTATTATAGTTTACTATTTTAAAAATACTGTAGTCTGAAAGGTAACAGCTAATTTGGTGTAGTGGCTGAAATGCTGGATTATAAACTGGAAATGGTGAGTTTTATTCTTCCCTTAGGCATGAAATTGGAGATTTACCTATTGGTCGCTAAGAGCTGAAAATAACTCGATGGCACATAATCAATCAATCATAGGCATGAAAGCTGAGACTTTGAGTTTCTCTCAGATCAATGCACCTTACAGGATTGTTGTTATGGAGAAAATAGGAGGCAGAAGTAGTGCCTTGAATTGTACAAAATAAATGCACATAAATACATAAATATAGTAATAGGAAGTATTAAAGAACAATTTAAAAGCAATGAAATGGTTACTTTTCAAATAAAGGTGGTATATTAATCTTTGCAAGGATATGCATTATAAA